CTCATTCTGCCAATATAATCTCTTTACTTAAAACCTTAATAATGGCCTTCTGCTGGCTTTACAGATGAAAGTAGAAGAGATGTAAGGTACTGTAAGATCAGACCTTTAGACATCAAAATGAGACCTCATTTACATGTCAATCAGTGTATCCTCCTTCTTGCCATCAAAACTTTGATATTTAAACCTTGAGTTATCACTGTCTGATTCGGCGATTGAGGGATCAGGCTTTTAACTTACCCCGTGAAATGGTTTAACAAATACAATTTTCTTTCTTGTAATGATCTCTTTCCTATTGAAACAATTAGTCAGGAAGGGACACAGTACATCTAAGACCTTGTTCTCTTTTCAGATAATCGATTTGTCACAGTCTGGCCAAACCGCATTTACTAGTTGGCTTCAGGTGGATATTCTCATTGTAGAAAGCATATCCCTTACAGAACCTATAAGATCATTTATCATATTCAGAAAACAAGATTGAGCATAAAAAGGATGTTTATTTAGACAAATTTAGTAGCAATTTTGTAGTAATAATAATACAAATCCTCTATCCATAATATCTCCAGTGAATCAGGAGAGAAATATGCACAGATCAAGCACCTTGAAAACAGATAAAATCAAACGTGGGTGGATTTTGATGTGAAGGACAACAGGGGATGGACTTTTTCACTGGAGGGAGCATTATTATGAATTATGGACTCGTATTAACCCTCTGGGGTCTGAGGGTGTTTTGGGGGCCTGGAGAAGTTTTGACATGCCCTGACATTTGTGCTTTTTTCAGTTGGCTTATGAACATATAAATGGCTAAAGTCTGATAACACTGTGATCAGCACAAACTGGGCTACAATAATATGTGAGCAGCATGTATGTACGTGTTTTGGGGGCCTGGAGAAGTTTTGACATGCCCTGACATTTGTGCATTTTTTCAGTTGCTTATGAACATATAAATGGCTAAAGTCTGATAACACTGTGATCAGCACAAACTGGGCTACAATAATATGTGAGCAGCATGTATGTACATGATTGTGTTTTTGAGAAAACAATGTTTATGCGTGGTTAATGAAAAACTAACATTTTTAAATCACTTGAATAAAGCATAAAACATATAGAGAACATTCGTTCACAAGACTTTTGAGAACTGAATCTTGTAGCCTATAGAGTTTTGGCTTCAAAATGATGTGAAAATTATCCTGTTCACTCATTCACAGAAAACAATATGTGACCCTGGACCACAAGTCATAAGGGTACATTTTCTGAAATTGAGATGTATAACTCACATGAAAGCTGAATAAATAAGCTTTCCATTGATGTATGGTTTGTTAGGATAGGACAATATTTGGCCGAGATACAACTATTTGAAAATCTGGAATCTGAGGGTGAAAAAATCAAAATATTGAGAAAATCGCCTTTAAATTTGTCCAAATGAAGTGCTTAGCAATGCTTATTACTAATCTCTCTCTCTCTCTTCCTTCGGCTTGCTCCTTTTTTATCAGGGGTCGCCACAGCGGAGTGATAATGCATATTACTAATGATAATACATTTTTGATATATTTACTGTAGGAAGTTTACAAAATATCTTCATGGAACATGATCTTTATTTAATATCCTAATAATTTTTGGCATAAAACAAAAATCGATAATTTTGACCCATACAATGTATTTTTGGCTATTGCTACAAATATACCCGTGGTTTTGTGGTCCACGGTCACATATATTGATTTAAAAGTCACTTTTTGTCCAGAAAGCCTGTATGCGAGGAGGCGTGAATGATCATGAATAACAGTGTGATTCACACCTCAGAAGATAAAGGTCCACATAATGAGCTGCATAATAATCACAAGAAAGAATGTGAGGACAAAATAAATGTATATATTTTTTTGTTTGTAGTTTACTTAGAATATATTCAACTATCACACAAAATAACCTGAGATTGCAATAAAACACACAGCTTTTATTTTTTGACATTAATTCATGGACTGGAGTGGTGTGGATTATTGTGATGTTTTTATCAGCTGTTTGGACTCTCATTCTGACGGCACCCATCCACTGCAGAGGATCCATTGGTGAGCAAATGATGTAATGCTACTCTCTAAAAAATGCTGGGTTAAATATAACCCAGCGCTGGGTTAAAAAGGGACAAACCCAGCTATTGGGTTGTTTTGACCCAGCGGTTGGGTTGTTTTGAACCCAACCGCTGGGTCAAAACAACCCAATTGCTGGGTTTGTTCCTATTTTACCCAGCACTGGGTTGTATTTAACCCAGCATTTTTTAGAGTGCAGGTACAGTTGAGTCAATAACAACTAAAGTCTGTTTATGAGTTTACATGTCCCTTGCAGAATCTTTAAAGTAATAGTTCACCCAAAAATGAAAAGTTACTTACCCTCAGGCCAGCCAAGATGTAGAAGAGTTTGTTTCTTCATCAGAACAGGTTTGAAAAAACGTACACTCTAAAAAATGCTGGGTTAAATATAAACCAGCGCTGGGTTAAAAAGGGACATTTTTAGAGTGTGGGTAGGTGACAAATAGGCAGTAAAAAATGCTTATTTTGTAAAAGACCATTTTTGAAGAAGAAATGCATATATAGTGTGAAGTCTGATCTTTGAGAAAATATAAAGGGTCACTAACTTCTTCAATTCTTTCATTGTTTTTTTTTTTTTACATTTTCACTGAACTGTACCATAAATTTGTCCTATGGTGTGACATAGCAAAAATTAAGAAGAAAAAAAAACTCTTAATAATATATAAATAGAATGAGAGAGATTTATCTTCATTGTTAGACACTTATTTTTATATGGTGTTATTTATTTAATATGAAATTATAATTAACATCATTTTTTCCCCATGACTTGTTGAACAATTTCAAGACAAACTTTGACAACAAGACAAACTTTGCTGTCATCCGTTCAAAACTGCTGAAAATCATACAATTTTAAGATGAGTGATATTTATATCCCCCCTATTACAATATTCAACTCTTTTTTTTTTTAGATATTTTGAAATAAAAACAAATCTGTGGTTCTTTTATGTGTGTCACACCATAGGACATTACGTCACACTAAAGGACAGAAATGGTAGTTATTAAATCATTTCTATTTAATTTTGAACATGTCAAAAGATAAAGAAAGTGTAATTTTGATACAAACAATATCAACATGTTTTTTAAACAAAACAAAAAAATAATTTGCATCAACAAAATTCAGTCTCTTAGTCAATCAGTATGTTACTGAAACTCTTCTAGCCCTCAGCTGCATGTGTGGCACAGCTAAATATGATTGGTATTCAAACTATATTCATTAAGATGTGAATTATTTTTTTAACTGGCTACACTTTTTAAGGCATCATTTTGATTCTATTTACTTTCTGCATCGTTCTCTTAGGATCTCCTCCCTTCTGGTGGATCCCTGTTAATTTTCTGTCTATATTTCCAAGTCCTCTCTCTTCCACTATTTTCTCTCCCTCAATTCTTTCTGTTTCAAAAACAAATTACCACATTTTATACTTATTTTCATGACACTTTATAACAGTAAAACAAAAACATCAGAAAATAGTTTCTTTAATGTAATTATTGCATTTAAGAACACTGAAAATGATCAAAAAATAATAAAAAAGGAGTTAAATAAATCTTATTTAATTATTTAAAATGCTTTTTAAAGAGACCTTGTCCTCTGGTGTGACATTTTTGTCCTATGGTGTGACAGTACAGGCGTCATACTGGTGGACATTATCTGTCACACCAAAGGACGTTTCAGCCTTTTGTGTCAATTAATTACCTTGCTATTCTGAGCTAACCTGTCATTAGTGGTTAGCAAGATACATTTGCATAATTTTCCATGATTATGTAGTTTAACATACAGTTTTTAATAAAAAAATATCATTTAGGGGTGTCACACCAAAGGACAACAAAACGTAAGACTTTTGTAGTGATTCCAAATAAATTAAATATTTGAACAGTTCTGAGGGAACATTTTTATGTTTTTCTTTTTAATTTATACAAGTTGTAATTTATTGAACCATGCTTGAGACAGTCACACCATAGGACAATTTTGAGATTTGGCTCAAAAATTTAAAAATTCGAATAACACTGCAGCTTTTATAACAACAGGTCCGTGCAGGACAACGAAATGTTTAACCATTTACTGCATTTTAAATAATGCAATTTTAATTATATTAATTTTTATCTTGTGGGACAGTGGAAATGCCATGTCACATCAACAAGCCCACCTACTGTATCTGCTAAGAAATGATAAAAAAAAATAAAAAGCACAAAGCATTAGGAAAAAACTTAAATAATCCCAGGAAAGTGTGGTAAAGTAAGGGGAAAATCGATAAAAAAGCTAGAATATTTAATAATAAATTGCCAGTTTTTCTTGTTAGAAGACATGGACAAAATGGCAACATCCACCTAAATCAAAGTTATGAATTCAAATTAGCCACTATGTTGACAATAGTAGGCCTATTGTGATACAAAATCAAATTCATAATTGATATTTCACCCAATATATAAGAGTGAAATGTGAAAACGTACATATTTAGTCACTCTAAATTGTCTACAGGTAAACAAGAGAGATATTTGATGAATCAACACTTGTTTGAGTTGAGTTAAGAACCTGCAGCCTATCAGCTCCCAGCGCAGATCTTCAATCATTAAACCACTAAACCACAGCCACCCCCAGACGCGTGACGTGCGCAACGCTCCTGAATCGCTCGCAGCGCAACATTGTAACCGGCGGATGCAACACGTCCCTCAGACTCACCGGTGCTGAAGCTGCGCGCCTCCCGAAGATTCCAGCATCCCGCATCCTTTCACAGCTACAGTATGGATCATGATGCCTTTTATCGCCTGATAAACTTCTCTTCGTTTTGTTTTGTCGCTTTACTCATCACGTTCGCATCATCCCGCGATTGAATATTCGTTGGAATCGGTAACCTGACACATCAACTCGGTTTTTGGTAGTTATGCTTGTCAGTTTGACTCTCGCGCAACTGCGCTCAATAAACTGACGCTTTTATTTAGTTGCACTTCAGCACCACCAAAAAGCGCAGAGAGATTTCTGGAGTGAATCACCGTCTAAACACTCAGCTGGAGCAGAACCAGTGTCATGGGTAAGAACACGAAGCCAAGAAACATTTCTGTTGGTTTGCTAAACGAACATATTCTCGCGTTTGAGTGCGTAATGGCATGACAAACAGTCATGTTCAACTTGAATCATCTGTTGCAAATGCGATAATTGTGTCGTTTTGACGCGTTTGTTTATTATGGATTTGTGCGTGTGCGTTTGTTTTGCATGCATTTCCATGGGCAATCAATTTCACCATTCCTGATTTCAGTCATGTTCTTTTCCACCTTTCTGATCATTCATCACTAGACACATGCATTTACTCAAACGCACTGTAATTTATAGTGAAACACGGAGCTGAAATAGAAAAGCGTAATGCTTCTGGACTTTAAAATATGAGCCTTTTTGTACAAAGCGAGTTTATGGTGCGATTTTAAACATATGATGCAACAAATATATTAACAAAAGCATCTCTTTTTCTTGTGTTTGTAGTTTTCTAATTATTATGGACACAGATAAACGGACAAATAATCTTTTTTTTTCTTTAGTGAGAAAATAATGCGCTGTTGCCCACAGTAACGCGTGCAGCACTAGATGTGCGTTTTCTTCTAGATCTACAAGGCTTGGTGCATTTATTTTATCACCATTATAGGAAAACGTCACCCTTTTGCCTTTACTTGTTAATTATGTACATTAATCACACATTTAAACCTATCTAGTTACACACAAAAATGCGACTTTTCCCTTATATATTGTTAGCAAAAACACTGATAAATATTCATAGTCTCACATCTGCATGCATAATATTAATTAAAATAATGACCACAGTCCTATTTTAGATATTTACATGGCACACCTCAAGACATCAACTTCACCAAAAGTATTTCCTTTCAACAACCCATGCTCAGAAGCGCTTTATGATAAGTCTGAATCATATGGAAAGAGGCTTTAATTGGTCTCTTGCTGACAGTTCAGTGGCAACTGATACCTTGCCTTTTGTGTCTTCGCATACAGGCTTCATAATGTTACATTTCCTTGTGCTTCCCACTGAAATCCACAAGCACCACAATCATCATTTGAATCAGTAGCCATGTTTTAATCAATTAAGGCTGTGTATTAGAGAGCCTCCATCTGTGGGCACTGCTGACTCTTTGTGCTGCTTCTGAATTAGGTACAAATAGACGTCTGTCCTGCAGTCATATAGATCACTAACTACTGTACTGTAGAACCGAAGTTCTGCATGTTCCCCAGAAACATTGATGTCACATTTAGCTTCTAATACACACAATTTATATTCGTTCCACAAGTGATTTCAAGTATGGGTTTTGAGCTTTATGTGATATCTTCAATCATTATAATTCAGATATATAGTCAATTATAAACAAAAACCTGCTTAAAACCAAATTGTAGGGCCAAGGTTTGATCAGTTTGAGCTAAGCCTGCTATTATGTTGAACCAAATGTTGGAAGAACTCACCTATAAAAGGAGCATGTGAGGTCCTCCTACAGAAACTGCACCTGAAAACCAGAGAATTCCCATACTTGGCATAATGTGCGGAGCTGCAGATCATCCTGTGATCAAATCTTTAACAAATACTCCATTTTGAGTCTCAGAGCTAAACAGTGTTAAATGAAGTATGTTGACATGAAAAATTCATTTTCAAACCACAGATATGTTAATGTGAGTGAACACTTAATGTATGCCAGAGTAACTATGAGAAAACACCAGCTGATAACTGTATGCTCTATCAAGATTAATCTAATTTATTCTTATTATCAAAATGCATTATCTTAAGGACTCCAGGGCAAAGAAGGGCTTTGCCCATATGGCACAAATCCAACTGCATTAAGAATATTTTGATATTCCAGTCATGCACATCAAAGTAGCTTTAATAGAGTTAACCATGACTGGTTACTTTGCCCAGACTGCAGAAGTAGCCACAACACAGTTTACTCACTTGGTAAACACTTAAAAGTCAACATGTTTTACGTAATATGTTTCTTTTTTTATTATTACTATTACTACTAATACTACTACAGATTCATCCATGAATGTTTCTAAATACATCAATCTAAAATCAAATTAATTCAGAATAAATAAATGCATACATAGATAGATAGCAATCATAATTTTTCATTAAAACGTAAGATCTCATTCTGCCTCGGGAACAACTTTCCTTTTGTCTTATGTCACTTAGACTTTAATGCTAACCAATAGTCAAATAGTTATTTAAGCATAGTTTTAAGTTACTGACAAAAAGGTACAAAAGCTGTCACTGGGGCGGCTAAAGGGTGCATAATATGTACTTTGAAGGTACATATTAGTACCTTTTGAAAAGGTACTGCCCCAGTGACAGCTTTTGTACCTTTTTGTCCAAGAGTGTAGGCAATGCAGCCTATGTAATTATAAAATAAACAACGACAGCAAGGATTTGAAAAAGCAGTTTTTCAACTGGGATAAGTAGAGATGCTCTGGAGTGAACTTGACCTTCACGCCTCCACGACCCAGTCCTCAAAGCCTCCTCAAAAGTGAGTGTTTCAGGAGGGGAGTAGTCCTTCAAACCCACTGTAAACTCACATTATGACTCTATTTTACTATGAAACACCCACTTTAAACCCTAAAATCATAAAATCAAGTCTCACCCTTTTGTGGCATTGGATATGCTGTTTCTCTAAATGAATCACACTACGGAAACAAAACGGGTTTCTGAAAAAGAGCAACTCACAGTGCAATCAAGATATATTTTCCATAAGCATGTATGCTCTCTGGGATTTGAACCCATGACCTTGGCGTTGAATGCAACATTTGAGCTATAGTAATTGCCCAGAGAACAGATGGGGTTGAATGCTTGTTAATTCCAGCTTCATCACTGACAAAAAAATAATGAAATTCTCAGAACCACAATGTTTTCACCTTTTCCTCAGGCAAGGTTTAGTTTGCTCTCCCCTATGGCTCTTGACAAGGCTTGTATTTCAATCAGATCCATTTTCCTTATGATCGAATGACACACAATAGACTCAAATTAGGATTAGACGTTAAACGTTAAACTCTGAGGACACAGAGAAAAAGGCATTACAAAAGCACAGCTAACTCCTCGCGAGGAGAGTCCATTGGGAAGGGAAGTCCCCGTGGACAGTCAGCCTGAAAAAAAAGGAGACTTTAATAGACCTCATTGGAAAGTGTTGGGAACACATTCTGTGGACTGGGAATTGATGCTCGAGTGAAAGTTAATCTACCACAAAGCATGACATCAAGCAACATCCTTCAGAGTTTAAACTAGGGCTATCAATCGACGTGAATTAATTGCATGATATCCCATTTAATTAATAATTTTCAAATTGATTGCATTTATCAATATTAACTAAGAAAATCTCCCAAATGAAGATAATGCATTCATTAAAAGTTATTTTTTATGTAATTAATTGTACTAAATTTAATTTTCAGCTCTAATTTGAACACAAATGCTTCTCTAGAGTAACTCTTGACCTTTCTCCATCTGGTGCATTTCTAGCTGTGTTGGTTAGTTGTTCTTTGGATAAAAAGACAGGCCCTTCTGCTAGCAACAAAGATCTGTGTACCTGAAGAACTGGATAAATGTGGCCTGTCTGTCACATTTTGCTTTATTTGGTTTGTTACCATGCTACGTTATTTCTCAAACCCTCATCGCATTCATCTTGTTTCTTAATCATCTCCTGCTGAGTCCGGCCCGGGTATTACTCTCCACGTCAGGGTAATGGAACACTGCAGCATTCATTTGAAATATCAACTTGTCTTTTTGCCAAGGGAGATGGCAGCCCTCGTTCTCTCAGCTTCTCTCCTCGTCCTGATGTCGAAGGGCCTGTTAATGGCCTTCTGAACCACAGAAACATGGACACGAGTGTCTCAAATGTCAATTAGTCTTCTTTGGGCCCCTAAAAAAATTTTGTTAAAATGTGGTGGTGACACAGGTGAAAAGTTCACAGTTCCACAGTAAATTATTCATGTCATCTTATGCATCCATCAGATCACAACTATGGCCTCTATAGTGAGGCATTGAGGTAAAAGACAGGGAGCAGCAAAAGACGAAGCAATGTCTGCAACCTGGTTTACTTCCATAATGTGATACATTTCAGATGGATGGATGGATAGCTTGTCCTTTCTTTGTAATTATTGGCAAAATTTACTAGTTATTTCTAATATGCCAATTTATTATCAATGTTGGAAATAGTTGAGATGCGTAATATTTTTTTGGAAACTATGATACTTTTTCAAGTTTTTTTGATGAATAAAATGTTAAAAAGAACAGCATTTATTTGAAATAGAAATCCTTTGTAACAATATACACTACTGTTCAAATGTTTGGTGTCAGTATTTTTTTTCTTTCTTTTTTTGAAAGAAATTATTCATTTTATTCAGCAAGGATGTGTTAAATTGATCAAATGTGGTAGTAAAGACTTAAATTGTTAGAAAAGAGAATAAATGTTGTACTTTTTAACTTTTTATTCATCAAAGAATCCTGAAAAAAAGTATCACAGGTTCCAAAAATGTTTCCAACATTGATAATAAATCAACATATTAGAATGATTTCTGATGGATCATGTGACACTGATGGCTGATGAAAATTCAGCTTTGCATCATAGAAATAAATTATATTTTAAAGTATATTAAAATAGTAAACCGTTATTTTAAATTGTAATGATGTTTCACAATATTACTGTTTTTTCTGTATTTTTGATCAATTAAATGTAACAGCTTCATGAGCATAAAAGACTTCTTTAAAAAAAAACATTACTGATCCCAGACTTTTGAACAGCAGTGTATAAACCTGAGGCAAAACATATTACATTTTGATGAAACATTCCAAACACAAATTAAGACCAGGATTGTCTTAATTTAAACAGATCCATGTTGATTTCATGTTGAGTTCAAGTAACCTAATTCAAGAAAATCAAAAATCAACACACTGTAGCATGCGGATAGACAGGAAAGCACAACAAAGCTTCAAAAAAAAAAAAAAAATTCCATTACGAACACATCGGGCAGCTATGTTTTTAAAGACATCCTTATCTGCTCAGTTAAGTGAGAGGAAAACATTAAGCGAATAAGCTCTGCAAATCTTTGGCCTTTAATGACTCTCAAAGGTTTAATTTGCTCATTGATTTCTTTAACAGCCAGACATCGAGATTGATTGGTTCACATGCAGCCTTTTTTTGGATGATGTTTTTTCCTGTTGTACCAGTTTAATAACAAGCAGTAGAAAATGTCCCAAATCCATCGAGTAGCCCACTACTCATGAAATATCCTCGAGGAAAACCCATCCATATCTCAGTGGGAGCACTGCTCTCATCTAATTTTTTGTCCCCAATTAAAAGAATGTGCAGTATTAATGGGTCATATAATTACTTATAAAATGTTGTCTTCTTTCTATATAAAAGCCGGTAGGGAATACAGCCAGCTTGCTTGGTTGCGAAGTCTCGTGTTGGAAGAATTATCACATTCTTATGGGTCTTTATCCATTAAGGCGATGTCGCTAATGATCTCTGCTGCTAAGGGAAGCGACGTGGTCTCAATGCCATCTCTCTGTTCCAATAACTAGTCAGCAGGAGATGGGTGACTGGCCTTTAGCCACAGGATGAAACATATTTACTGCCCCAATAGGACACTATTCTATAAAATTGATGACTGTGTAAACCGTTTGGTATGCCCCATTGCTGTTGCACATCTCTTCTTGTTAAAGCATCAACGCAAAGCAGCAGAACAGTGGGAAACTTATTTGTCGTGTGTTACTTGCTAATGATACAAGCAAACTTTGAGACGGATGACCCTGATGTTACCTTTCTCTCATACTTAATTTAGCGTGAAGCCTAAGATGCATTCAGTATTCGGCTGCTTTGTGCTACGTAGATAGTGAATGCTATTTTTAATCTGCAACATTAGTTAAATCTTTTGAGGGGGTGTATGAGAAACGACTAAATGTTCCGTGCATATGTTAGACGTATGCTGATTAGCTCCGCTCTGATAAGTGGATCTCATTGATTTCCATTCATTTAAAACACCCTCTTCGCTTCCCACTCGCTTCCATTTTGGCTAAAACCAGGGTACATTAAAAGGTGTAGTGCTAAATGATGGATAATTCCGCTTGAATTCTCATATTCGATTAGAGGGTCCCCGGTGCATTTTTTTTTTAGATTTCATGCATTATGTCCTAATAGCTTGAAAACAATCAGCACACTCTACAGGATGTTCCCCATCCATCACAATCATGAATCGTTTTCCTTGATGATAAAGATGAGGCTGTGCATAACAGATGAGCGCACCCACTCTGTCACTTGCAAACCTGTGATCTCTAGGGTGAATACTAAAACTGACCTCAAATGTTGTCTGTCTGTGTTCTGTCTGTGTCTCTCCACAGGGCCCTTACTCTGGGAAGGGCGCCTGTCATGTTTTCTTTTCCATGCTTCTGTTCTCCTGCTGCTCAGCAAGGGGGAGCGGATGTGCCCTGTGAGTTGCCGCTGCGAAGGCAAGATTGTTTACTGCGAGTCTGGCGCCTTTCAAGACGTCCCGGAGAACATCTCTCTAGGGTGCCAGGGTCTATCCCTGCGGTACAACAGTCTCTTGTTGTTGCTACCTTACCAGTTTGCTCACCTCAACCAGCTGGTCTGGCTCTACCTGGACCACAATTCAATCAGCGTAGTGGATAGACTGGCTTTCCAGGGACTTCGCAGGCTAAAGGAACTAATCCTAAGCTCTAACAAGATTGCGCAGTTGCAAAACGGCACCTTTGAGACTGTCCCAAACCTGCGCAACCTTGACCTGTCCTACAACCAGCTGCAGGACTTGATGCCGGGGCATTTTCATGGACTACGCAAGCTTCAGAATCTTCACCTGCGATCAAACAACATCAAAAGCATCCCTGTCCGTACTTTTATGGAATGTCGAAGCCTGGAGTTTCTAGATTTGGGTTACAATCGCCTACGGACTATAACTCGTACGACCTTTCTGGGACTGCTCAGGCTGACGGAACTCCACCTTGAGCACAATCAGTTTTCCAGGATTAACTTTTTCCTGTTTCCACGCCTCTTGAATCTGCAGGCTCTTTATCTGCAATGGAATCGCATACGGTCGGTCGTCCAAGGTTCGCCTTGGACTTGGCACACTTTACAGAAATTGGATCTATCGGGCAACGAGATTCAAGTTTTGGATCCGGCTATTTTTGGGTGTCTGCCCAACTTGCATACGCTCAATCTGGAGTCTAACAAGATAAGCAACGTGTCCCAGGAAGTTGTTTCATCGTGGATCTCCATTAGCACTATCAACCTGGCAGGAAACATATGGGACTGTAGCTCTAGTATCTGCCCTCTGGTGTCTTGGCTGAGAAACTTCAGGGGAACTAGAGATGCCAGCATTATTTGCAGCACTCCCAAATCCCTTCAGGGAGAAAGAGTCATGGACACAGTGAGGAACAACTCTGTGTGCGAGGAGATATTCACCGTGGAACCGACCACGGAATTATCTCTTCTTTTGACTACAACTACGACAACTCTTTATGTAACAAAGCCAGCCACAACCACCACCACAACCCCACGCACCACAACTAGACAGCTTTCTCAAGTTACCCACGTACAAAGAGTCACCCCAAAGGTTTTATTCCCTGTTCAGTCCAACAACGAATTCCTACCACCCCTATCGGTAACACCTAGCAGCCTACCCTTCACCCCCGAACCTGAGTTTGAGCATATGACCTTCCACAAGATCATCGCCGGCAGCGTTGCCCTATTTCTCTCTGTGTCTTTAATCCTATTAGTAATTTACGTGTCGTGGCGACGATACCCTAACAGCATGAGGCAACTCCAGCAGCACTCCATTCGACGCAAGCGCAGGAAAAAGACTCGAGAGCCTGAGCACAACATCAACACTCAACTTCAAGAGTATTACCACCTAAGCTACAACCATGCCAATGCCGAGACCATGGACTCTTTGGTTAACGGGGCGTGCACCTGCACCATCTCGGGCTCCAGAGAGTGCGAGGTATGACCTACCGTTAAAAAAACGCATTCTCTGCACCAGGGAGTCAGAGGTAAACATTTTATGAGTATGACTGCCCGTAAACCTTCTCTCCTTCTTCCTGTCGCTCCTTTGAATCACATCTTTCAAATGCTCACATTTAATTGCATGAGTAGAGGAATGGTTCACTTAAAAGCAAAAATTCTCTCATTAGTCACTCACCAAGTAATTCCAAACATGCTGTTAATTGTTTTCCGTAGTTCTCTAAAGGAGAAATGTGAAGAATCTTCACACAAAGACTTTTTCATACAACAATAGTTCAGTGACCGCGTCAATCATGCTGTAAAAAAGGACAGCCCCTTCCCCTCATGAAATTAGGATAAATGTAATTTGACTATATTCTAAATCTTTAGCTTGAGAGTAGCACAAGTTGTATGAACCTTTATGGTTTGAATGAATGAATGGTCAATGGAAAAAATAAAAACTTAAAATTCTCCTTTCATGTTCTACAGAACAAATAACATTATAAAGGTTTAGAAAGAATAAATAATGACAAAATTGTCCATTTTGGGCAGTGCTCGAATTGAGAGGGGGCTTTTGGACCCCACATATAAGATTTTGAACAGTCCACAGCCCTTATGATCAACACTGCACAGGACGTTAGTCACTATTATAAAAAGTATAAAAGAAGTAGGCACTTTAAAGGATTGAGGCTGCTCAGTGAAAATTAAATGTGTCATAGTGTGGCAGTTAATGGAGCGGCTCCCTGTGATATACTTTTCTACCCACCATCTACCTGTCTATCTGCTCATGAGAAAGTCTCCTAACCTGCAAGAAGCCAATCAATCAAGGTAAATCATGTCTATAAAATAAATAAAATCACATGACCTCCTCCTTCAAATGCAAAAGTCCTGCTAGACATCACCTGAGCCTCTAAATAAGTAAATAAATAAATAACAATAATCCACTTTTGTTGCTTGCGTGGTTTTAAGTTAACTATTCCTTTGAGTCGGAGTTGTCAGAGACGTGGCACACTGGGGAGTGCATGTGTTCAACAGGACACAGGTTTAAATTCTGCTACCTTGGTTTACACTGATAAGTAATGTGTAACATTTGTAAACAAGTTCATCCTTTGACCCATCGTAGTATTTTATTTTATTTTACAACCCGTAAGTGCTTTTCAACCAGCTCTATAATTTTCTTTTGATGGTCTCCCTCGATTAAACCTAATTCATAGCTAACAATCCTAGCAGAGTAGTGTCATCTGTAGTTGCCTTACAGAAACGAAGCCTTCTTGACACGAAACAACACTCACAATGACATTATTGTGTCATTATTATAAGCCTTGTGTTTATCATGGAACGAGAAGGAACTGAAACAGCGTTCAGTAATTATGGACTTAAATTATGGAGCTTTATTTTACAAAGCGTTGTTTTTTTGTTCTTTTTCTAGACGCATTATGCTGCATGACTATATGCCCTTTACCAGTACCAGCTGTTGGAAATCAATGTACATATTCATGTTTTCCATCACCTTCAATTATTGCCTAGTCTTTTAACTCCTGCTTGGGGCTGCTACATCATTCATTTGATCACATCTTTGGAGCTCTGTGTTATAATGGGTCATCACGTATTCAGTTTTGACATTTAATGAGCGGGGTAGTCATTTATGTGTCTTATTATTTATCTTTCTTTCTCGTGTTTGTGTCAAATCAACTCTGGTCTCTCTTATCATTTTGGGTGATGCAAACTAATTAAAAGTACCCTCATAAAAGCTTTTAAAAACCTAACCAGATAATGCATGACATTTTTGATGTGGAAGATACATGCCTTAATTGTACGCAATTTGACTTTCTGTCCCACCCCAAGAGAAAAGCACAGCAATAGTAGGTCACAATGGATGAGATGTGAGGTTGCAAGCATCTATCAAATCCTCACTGTATTTTTCAGGCTGAAACACTTTTCTGCATGCATTGCATCAGGCCTCAACTGATGGGCCATATTGAAAGGGTCACAGAAAGCAGGGGGAAAATGCAAATTAGGCTTATCAATTTAATTTAATGTTCATTTTAAAATGTGATGCAATTTACCATGCCCTCTAATATTTGTTAACTCCGTAATAAGGTATTTTCTAACCATCATGGAAATTCAAGCCTGAAGTATCCATTCTTGTTTTTGTGAGTCTGCTTAAAAACACTTAAAAACCAAATGTAAATGTGAAATACAATGCAACAGCCAAATGTGTATGAAGACCAATAAATAAGCAAAATATGTCAATGCAAATTAATAGATCCTACATAAATAGCTGTGAAGACTCTATTGTAAAGTTAGTTTAACTATAGGTCAGTTATATACTTTATTTCCATATAATTGAATATCAGCCGACATGTATTTAACAATATATGAACTTCTAAAGCCACTTTTTGTCTATTAAATGCTTTGCGAAGCAAATTTTAATTTGATGATTCTCAACAGATATTTGCAATCGATTCTGATTAATTTGACGGATTAATTGGCATAATTGATTTAATTAAATTAATTAGCAGGCATACAAATTGATTTGCAGCCATAATAATATGCAACTAACCACATAATCATGCATAGTTAGTACAGAGCAATAAACAGGCTTATTAAAAGGAAGGCGGGAAAAATTCCCATTCAATCAAAACTATGGTAATTCGGGACAATTTCATCTGTATATTACAATATAGCCAAATTACACAGATGCCAATATGGGAATATGCATGAAAACACACATACACGAAACTACACAAGGTAAATGTCTGCTGAAAGCATAAAACCATTGCATTTCAAAAGACATTTACACTAACCAAAACAGTGAATCGCCCTATTCCTGTCCTATTCTTGATGTCCAATGCAGTGAAACCAGCTGTCACCATAATGATGAAAGTGACGCTACTGGCGTGTCTCCAAGTGCTGATGTGTGACATTCAGAGAATGTCACATTTTACAGTGCCTGATAGTTTCATAAAGATGTCAATCATCTTCCCACCAGTCTCGAAAGCTTCCAAATTATAGAAATATACGGTATATGCACATATGCATCCTGCTGAAGGCATTTAGAGCTTATATTATCCCTCAGGGACCAATAAATTATATGACTCATCTCTCCATCCACTCTTACAAAAAAAAAATTTGGTCTAAAACACGTCTGGTTTTTTAGGGAGGCTTAAGTATTTTAGGATCAGTACTGTAGTTGTTATGAAACTGATTTGTAATACCATAAGCAGAATAAATTTTGCATTTGCATAAACATCATTTTTGCATGCTGTTCATGTGCTAATTATTCAGTCGATCTCCTGTACAGTTGACAGTTCCCAATTCAAAACCAGCTGTTGTCGTTTTATGTTTTGATTCATTAGGACAACCTGGTGGAGCATGCATCTTGAATTTGAAAGGCATAAACACTGTATGTCAAGCTCTGCTTTAACCTGTACTTCAGTACTGTGACTAACTTCTCCAATCTTCTGGTGACCCTAATAATCGAGATTGTTTTTCTAGCCTATCAGTGGCACTTCCACCTCAGCTTCACACTTCTAATCTTAGCATGAAATTGCTCATTTTTTTCATCCCTGCTGAAGGTTCCTAAGTGGATACTTGCTGCTTGTTTGCTTCTACCGCTGATAAGGATACTTTGCCTCCAGAACCATGAAGTAAAATGCACTTGGAGTTGCAATTTTGAGGTTTCTTTAGACTGAATGCACATTTCTTCATAGAAAATTGCAGGTCCGATTTCAAGCAAGGTATATATGCAGTAGGTTGTCACAACATGACTTTTCTAGAACAAATCACAGTTTTTCGCTGAGTAAATCTCACAAAGCTGAGGAATTATATTTTGCATAAAGAAAATTAAAGGGGTCATATGATGCGATTTCAATTTTTCCTTTCTCTTTGGAGTGTTACAAGCTCTTGGTGTAGAACAATTTGCATTGTAAAATTTGTTTTATGAAAATTAAACATATTTATACACAACAGTATTTTTACCATCATGCATTGTGAAGTTGTATTTTTTATTTTTTTTTAATTCCAATCACTTTAAATAAATAATTTATTATGTCTAATATATATATATATATATATATATATATATATTTATTTATTTATTTATTTATTAAAGGCACAGATACAAAAAAAATATAATTTTCTTCATGCAATATAAATATATATATGTTGTATATACAATATATTGTATAATTATTTTGCATGCAGAAAATTATTAATGATTTATATATTACTATACTATTATATATTACTATGTCTACTATATATTTTTATTTAGCATTAATAAGCAATAATGTGTATAAGTACTTTACAACCCACAAATAAAATGTAATAAGTAATTTAATAATTAAGATAATTTTCTTTATCTTAAAAATTCCTCTGGTTTTTTGTCTCTCTCTCACTCTATATATGTAAACTTTCAATTTAAAAATACTGGCAAATATTGATCAAAAGGAATCTGTGTGAGCAGGTCTATTTTGATTGTGACTGGCTCAGGCTGATCATTTAGACAACAACAGTATCAATTCCATCACTTCCTGCAACAAAACAGGCCTAACAATAATTACTTTAAATTTGCACTCCAAATTAAAATGCACGCGGCTCTGCAGGAGTAAGCCAAGGACATTTATTAGCAATCTTAAAACAACAGGCTAAATGGATGAGATAAAAAGGCGAGGTGTATTAATAGACAGCAGTTGGCACATTTTCCAGAGCCTGCAGCATTTTCCGAGGGAGAAAGCAATGCATGTTCTGTGTCAGGAGCCTGCAGACTGACGGAACAGAGTGAAGATGCTAATATTATGTGTATGTGCATTACATGCCAAATGGATTCCACTGCAGGGTGAAGAGGGATTTGTTTCATGAGCTGTGAATAATCAAATCAGATAGATCAATGTAAAAAAAAAAAAAAAGTGTTTCTGTATCATATTTAAAAAGTAATTACTGTCAAATCTGCAGTTGTGTTTGGTGACTGATAACTGCCATATAAAATGTGTAGCATTCTGAGGA